TTAAACACTACTAAAATCGCGATAAATCAATACATAAATACGCTAGAGACATTAAATTTTACGTCCGATATGGTATAAGAAAGCTTTATACGAGCCGGTAGAAAAATTTAACGATATGCGTGGTATCCCCACTATTACTTTAACCAAATGAAATTTGCGACATTCCTATATCACAGTGCGAAAATGGGTGACATCGAACTACAACGACGCCTACTTCTCATACAATTTTAAATTATTTTTGATTCGATATACAAATCAATTAGGAATTAATATAACGACGACCCCAGTACCTACAGTGGACTTTTGACCAAAAATATCGGTTAATATATGATATATATAATTTAATTCGTATTCTTTACTGACAATGTTATGTTAGTGTGTCAAGATTGGGTTGAATCGGATCAATACTTCCATTAGCCTCCCTGTAGTTAATTAAAATAAAGATTTTCACACTTCCGGATGTGTTTATACTCCAATTATTGGGCAATATATATAGTTATATTAACATAATTTATGGAGCGTTTTTTACTCAAAGTAGTCTATTTTTGTCTCTAAAATAAATAGAATTGATCGAAAACTTGATCTAGATCCGGTATAACCTGAGTAATGTCAAAATAAATGCAATCAGCATGACTCTTCACAATATACCAGATAAAATTATACGGACTAAAATATAGAATTAAACTAAGTCTATGTCAATGGCTTTTGTGTCTACATATATAATTTATATTATTATCTCCTTAATTTATTCACAATTTCATCGAATAGCGTAAATATAAAGTTTTGTCTGCATCTAGGAATTTTCCTAAGTTTCATTCCTGAAATGTGTAAAAGCATGAAATGTTCGGCTACACCCGAACTTAGCCCTTCCTTACTTACTTTTTACGTTTACGATTATTATAAAATTTTTCCTCTGTTCCCTCCTCCTATGCTTTCGATCATGGCAAAGTGTGTCGCAATTTTTAATTTTTTTAGATAATACAGTGAAATCAACTAATTAAAATCTATATTTCAACTAGTATGAACCGCAATATCAGTTAGTCACTAACTGTATAGAATGTAATAAATGTTAAGATAATACAATGTTCAAATGTTACAATTAAACACTATAAAAATATTATATGTAGCATTAACAAATGTACTTGTACTAGTATTTTTGTATAAAATATACCCTGTGTTTTTAGTTTGCCAAAGAGACAAAGAATAATTTTATGAATTTAGAAATATCATCAATATTTTAATGATAAAGATACTTAGTAATACATACATACATATGTCTTCTTAGTGGATTTGTTTCATTCCTGGAAGAAGTCTAAGTAATTTTAGTGTACGTTAGTGTTTGGGGTAACAACAATTTGTGTAGATTTATTTACGTATAAATGTATGTACGAGTATGTGCGCAAACAATTGTTCAACCTCTTTTGGCACCTGCTACTCTTGCCACTGCATACTCTTGCCACTGCATACTCTTGCGTGCACATATGCATATATGTATGTATACCCAACATGCAAATACATAGAAGGATAATTACTGCCTCATATTATATCAATTTACCAACGTTATAACGGATATATTTTTATACTTTTGCAACCAGTTGCTACAGAGTATTATAGTTTTGTTCACCTATCGATTGTACGTATCACCTAAAACTAATCGAGATAGATATATTCTAAGAAATCGGAAGATAACTGCGCTCACTCCCCAAATAACGGTACTGTACAAAACTACTAAAAACGTAATAAATCCATAACTAATGGTATAAGAGGGCTTTATGAGAGCTAGTGTGAAAATTGGACAATGGCCGTGGCACTGCCCACTTTATGGTAAAATCACATATCTCGGGGCCCAATCCACCGATTTAGACTACATTTAGTACGTATCATTTTTCTAACATTCCTATATTACAGTGTGAATATAAGAAAAAACGGACTACAATCACGCCTACTTCCCATGTAACACTATTTAAAATACCATTTGATTCTTTCCCTTTCTAGTACACAAATTAATAAGTAATTAATATAACGGAATGAATTTTGCAGTAATAATTCCCTTAATTTGGTTTACCTTTTGACCCAAAATTGTATAAATCCATCCAAACTGTTCAAGACCCTAGGTACCGAATATGTGGAGCCCAGTATCTATAGCTGATTTTTGACCGAAAATATAGGTGAATGTGTGAGATCTATAATTGAAATTCAGGGATACTTCTTTGTATATCTGTATGCCAAAAATTTGGGGAATTGGGTCAATACTTCCTTAAGGCCCCATATACCTAATATAAAGATTTTCGAACTTCCCGGAGACTTTATGCTGGATGTATCAGGCAATATTTGAATTATTTCAATGCAATTGGAAAAGCGTGTTTTAATCAATACAGTGTATCTTTGTGGCAAAAATGGATAAATTTGAGCGAAAACTTGACCTAGCCCGCTTATAACCATTACCAAGATCATCCGACTGCCTTTGCTCCATATGAATGGTGATCGTATGTGTAATAAATAATATCGGATCGATACTAAGCCAACTCTCATATACATCATATGTATAATGATTTTCGGTTTTCTAACCAAAAGATCGTAAAGATCGGAGTTTAAGAATTTTTGAACTTTTTTTCAACTCCTACCACTTCAACTGTTAGTGATTGACAAGCAAAAATTCCTCCTTCCAGCCAGGCGCTGTACCTTAACTCTAAGGGATCGCTCTTTTTTAGGTTCCCATAAATTTAACATAGGAATTTTCGTTTTTTCATTCAAACCAAAATTTCACCATCTAATTTTCGTTTCTCAAAAAAGCCATCACATATTCATAAAGTTGGCTTTTCAAACTTTAAAAATTCTCGCGACAAAATTATTTTTCTTAGAAATTTTTTTTTATTTTTATTGAAAAAATTCCAAATTTCAAATCAATATGCCTAATCGTCTAATTTTAATAATCAAACTTTGTCGCAGAAATGTATATGTATATAAACTAAGACGTTTTACATCTTAAGGCATTTCCCTGGCTTTAATTTTTGCTTGTTGCAAGAGTATAAAATGTTCTGTTGCACCCGAACTTAGCCCTTCCTTTTGGTTTTTGTTTGTAGCAAAGACCATGTATCTCAAACAACGCATGCGCTTTTTGTTTCCTGCTTTAAAGCTGCAATGTGAATTAGATAGAAAAATGAAATGAAATAGGAAATGTGTTTGTCTCTGTTTAACACATTTAACTGATTATTTAATTATTGTAGGTGTAGCTTCAATATAAGCGCAATCCTGACATTGATATAGATTACTACCAATCTGAAAGCGACTCGTTTGCAGTAATCCAATTGGTGCTGTCGTTTGCACCACAACTTCTGGGTAGTTACTGATAAACACATAAACAAATATCGGAATGGTAATGAGTGTACTTACCACAGAACCCGGTAGAAAATAAAGAAAGGTTTTTATGTTTGTTTAGTATGTTTGCCATATGAACTCAAAAAAAGAGCAAAAACATATTTGTCATAAATTATGTAACAAAATTTGAAAAATCAACTTGGAAAATATATGCATGTTTGTCCAACGTCCGAATCATTAAAAATGGCTAGTAAATATTCGGCTGACAAGAAAAGTACAAAAAATATTGAAATTGCGTTACGTCGACAAAATCAAGCACCGATTTCACTAAATTTTGACACTAAGTATTGGTGTGAAATATCCATTCAAACTTTCACATGCGAACCTGATTTTTATTCTTATGGTTACTTTTAATGCCTATGGCGTTTTAAGTTAGACAGTTACCAAACTTTCAGTAGTAAGTAACAACCCTTGGATGGATGAATTTATTATTCCCTCTGCAACATGTTAAGGGTATAAAAATCGGAATTTAAATGCATTTGTTTACATATCGAGTAATTACAATATTAGCTCATGTTATTATTATGACCATATCTCTAAAAGTGGAAGATTGGTCCATACTGTGATCTGAATCGTATGAGTAAAACTTTACCAATGTATATTATAACAAGTAACAAACGACACAGTTCGGTGTATAATTTTATCATACATAACTGAAAACTTAGTTCCAAAAGAACATAATCTAAAAAACTAATATTGTTTCAGGTCTTTTATAGGCAATACTTGTATAAATTTAAAAGCAGAAATAATATAATGCCTTTAAACAATAATAGTAATATGAATGAATCCGATGAAGAGCATGACCTTACAAGCTTATCTTGGTTAATGGAGTTACGAAATCAAAATTTTAGCTGGACAAATGACATGCAACAGGTTAATTTGAACGCCGATGAAATGAATAATCGACACAACATAAAATGGTCTCACGAAGCAAGTGGAGGACAAAAAGATGCGTATGATAAAACAAGTCTGTTTAAGAATAAAGACAATTCCAACGACAAAATCAATTATGTTTTCAATAGTGATTATATTCTGCCAGCAATCAGTAATGGAATACTGCTTAATGAATTTGATAAACAACAAAAAGAACCAAGTTCAAGCAGCGATATTGATAAAAATATAACTAAACGAAATTGCATTGGTAAATCCCTTGAAAAAACATGTAGAAAATCGTTTAAAGGAATGTACTTTCAACAGCAGCAATTGAAAGTGCAAATAAAACGAGCTACCCCAATCGAGCGCTATGAAATATTTCTGGAAAAAGTTAAAAGGTATTTATAATATATTTTTGTTACAATCACACGAATTATCTGATATAGAATTTATAAAAGTATGATTTAAATATTTGCTTTCAAATTTTTCGAAACTAAAAATAAATATTTTGGTTCGAAAAACAAGCTGATACTTTATAAAGAACAAATAGTGCTGTGAATAGTTTCAGTGCAATTGTTTGGGTTTCTTTCAAATATGTGGTATGCGGCGTGATGGCGATGTGTCTACTCTGCTCTTTTGCTCAACCAACATCCGCAAATCGTTTGCGTGGTTAGACAGAAAATCGTAATTCAATTTCACCCGCATTAAATAATTATCATCTGCTCAAACAACTTTGAACTCCTTTTCGGATAGCCAACTAGTAAGGTATATATATGTAAACTTGGGTAACTAAAACGAATAGCAGCCCAATAGCGAAAATGACAAAAATCGTACACAGTATTAAATGTTTTCGAATTTTAAATATTCTCAAAGAGTACGGAACTATCACTCGCTTATAGTTATAGTTAGACGTTGAAAGCCGAGCCGAGCGCAAAGCTGATGAATGCAAGAAATAAGCTTCAAAACTGTATGCGTACATTTTCATAAGAAATCGTACAAGCAACGCAAATTAGAAGCTGACCGCAGCCGAGTGTAAAGCTGATCAATGCGAGAAAATCGTTCGAAAGTGTTTTTGGGCGCAAAGTCCCGCTAAAACGGCGCACATATTATATATGCAAAAACAATTTCTTTATACCAATGCTGATATTGGATAAATTTCTGAGTAATCCATGTCCATAAGCGCAAATAAAATTGCTAAATTAAAAAGCAAATGTGTGCAAGTAGAATAGCGAAGTACGGGCTAAGCCCCGCATCCTCGGTTTTCAGCGACCTCTCTAAAGGCTTCTTTAGATGTAGTAATTAAAAAAGACTATTTGAAATACTTTATTTGTGCAAGTAAATTATTTTGTTTTATAAGCACGTAGTATCATTAAATAAAGTTTCTACTTGACTTGACAAAACTAAAAAAAAAAAAACATTATAAAAGTAATGGCTAATTGTGTAGATCTAGTTTCAGTATTTACGGTGACCATTACCAACCCTTAGAGCTTCATTTAAAATTAACCAGAAAACAATTTTTATTAATCTTGTGCTTTATTGAGGTTTTAATTTTTTTTTAAATTATATTTTTTAAATTTTATATCTAAGGAAATCCTTAGATCAGGCAGTTTTTCTTTTTTTTAAAAAAATTTATAAAAAATTGAATTTAAATCTACAGAACAGATTTCGGTATGCAGAAGTCACCAGTTCGAAGATCATAACTCTGAAAAAAAATTTCATGTTTTACACGGAAAGTTCCACATCACCCGTTTTATTTTTAGGTAAAAACACGATTTCCTAACACAAATTTCTTTTCTACTTTTCTATAGAGTACTTGTAGAATATCAGAAATCAGCAATTAACTATCAAACGGACACAACAGAGAAGCCGCCATTTAATTACTCCCATATAATCGGTATGGCAATGTTGGAAAATGGACGAGTGACGTTGCAACAAATATGTTCTTGGATAGAAACAAAATTTGCTTATTTTCGGGTTAGAAAAAAATGGAACGTAAGTAATATATACTCGCATAAATATATATATTCTCATTCATATCTAAATTAATTATTATTATAAAATTATAAACACAATGTATTTCAGAATTCCATAAGGCATAATTTATCGCTACATCAATGTTTTCGTAAAATAGACCGTAAAAAATTTGAAAAAGGTAAAGGTGGTTATTGGGAACTGGGTGTTGATCCTCGTAAATGTGACAGGAAGCGCATAAGGAACAGAAAAAGTTCACAGCATAAAATTAGACAAATGCAGCATCAGCATCAACATCAACCGCAGAAATTGCAAAAACATCCGTTAAGCAAAAATAAAAATAAAAAAATTACACAGGAAACAAAGACTATGGTTGTGCTTAATCGACAAAGCCCGATAAACATATCATATAAAGAATTACAAAAACTAAAAACTGGAAGCTATTATAGTGATTGTGGTCAACAACAAGTTAACGAAATGCACACAGTTTGTCCAGCCAATTCTACCAGTGCCAGTAGTCATTTGTTGCTTGACGAGCTCGACATTCAACAAAACATCGATGTTGTCAGCTGTTGCCAACAGTCGCAACAGGAGCATAAAATATTTATTACAAGTATGGCGGAAGAAATCCCGGCAGCAATTAATAGTGTACCTAATGATAACAGCCCGAAAACTATTGAATTACTACAGAATAGTAAGCTACAACAATATCAGCTCGGTACAATTATAATTAGTGCACCCACCACAAAATACGGTAGCATTTCCGACTTCGCTGCTTCAACGGGATCTATTAACTGTTTTATTAATGGCGACTATATTGACGACAAAACACATAAACTACAGCACAGTTTCGTAAGTTATTACCACCGTTATTTTACATGCAGGTATTATTGTTGAATGAGGCAAATATATGGTATATGCTAATGAGGCTAAGGTTGCTAACGTGAAACGTGCATTAAAAATTTGCATAAGCTGATATATTTATGTACGTTTAGAAAGCGTTTTTATTTGCTTTAACTGTATGTTGGTAACTTTTTTAAGTGGTACTGAAAGGCCAATACTACACGAATATATTGAGCGGCACTGTGAGAAAGGTTCGACTGCACTGACCTATAAAACTCTTCAAGGCGCATTTCTATATAGCAATGTACAACAAAATCTAAAAACGTAACCGGCTAATGGTTTTCATCCTAAGGACAACATTTTTTTATTTTTTTAGCTGTTATTTGATATAGTATAAATATCCTTCAATTCCAATTAGGGTTGCTTAATAAGCAACAATTTTTTATGAAATCTTTATTATGCTTTTGTACGACAGCTTTCTGCTATAAGGATCCGATCGAAAAAAATTTGTTCGAAGGTTACCCGCTAGAAAAATCAATGCCGAATTTCGTGAAGATATATGCTCAAGTAAAATATTTTCCATACAAGGACTAGATTTTTATGGAAAAATTCACTTGAAGATATTTCGTCAAATAAAAAACTTTCCCATAAAAACACTTCTTTTCGGTCGTCCAGATCATATGGCAGCTATGTATATACTATAGTAGCTCCATATCGACCGCCCCGACAAATGAGCATGTGTAAATTTCAGATCGATATCGCAAAAACTACTAGCTCGCATATATACAGTAAGGCGGACATTGCTAAATCGACTCTCCTCATCATACTGATCTTTTATACATATATACTATATATTTACAGTCTCCGGCGTTTCTGTTTATGGGTGTAACAAAGTTCGTGGCAAACTTAGGGTATATTAAGTTCAGGATATAAAGATAATTATATTAAAAAAACTAGACTAGAGTATTTCTACCACTCGGTATATCAAAATCTTCAAATTTAGACCATACCCTTTTGAAGCACGATTTTATTGCAAACCAGAGTACTTTATTATAAACATGACTTCTCCTGTACATGAATTTATTCAATATATTTGCTAAAGCATAATACTTAAATATTTACAGTTGATTATGTCGTATGAAGACCCTTCTGGAGGGAAAAAAGGTTGAATTAAGTTCTTTCTCTTTGGATCAAACTCAAACTGTTACGAACAATGCTTTGTGAAGCTAGAAAACTTCTGTAGTTGGATAGTAAGCCTCAAATCTATTTGAAATCTGTTTAGATGTTTTATTTATATTTCTTCTAATTTAAATAAACGTTTAAAGGGGAGAGATATAAGATATAGAAGATATTTTATCATAGGCAGATGATCAAAAAGGAAGAGTTTTGCAAGGAACTACTACAAAATGTCAACAAAATGTTAACATTTGCCGCGTGGATACGTATATACAGAAAAAAATTAAGTGACATAGTTATTACGGCAGCGAAATCACAAACTTATTCGCGAGTGAAGCCTTTTTCAGCCGAGACTAAACTATGGGTCTGGTTTCATAGATTGTTCTATTTTTTATAACATAAACGATTCCATGTAATCAAATACTACCTAAAGTAATGGATTTTGTTTATTTTTGTATAGTTATATAGCTCTAAATCTAAGATGAGATATTTATCTTTCTGCAGAACTGCATAAAAGGCGACGATATACAAACCACATGCGAGAATGTAAACTCATATGCGGATAAAGATGTATTATCTGAAAAATCTATAAAACTCAAGTATAATTGTGAATGGAATGCAGACAATCCTCATACCAATACAATAACTACATTTACACCATTTATTCCATATTCTACAACTACGAGCAAATATGTTCCATCAGTCTTTATTAACAGCGTCGAGCAAGAAAATAACGTTTTAATTTCCCACTCAATAATGCCAAACGTTGTCGTTGAGCAACTGTTGCAGCCCTCTGGATTACAATACACACTTACTCCCTCTATGGCTACAAGAGAAGCGACTATAGTGACGCCACAAGTTACTACTAATGAGATGAACAATATAAACTCAGAGCAAAATAATCAACAATTACCGGCGATTGACAGTATACGTCCATATATTGACGGCGTAGAAGAAGCATTTCAATACCTACGCAGCATGGATAACAACCGTGAAGATCTATTAGATAATTTCTTAGATATCTCTGTGAGTGACTACTAAACTCAATTACTCGATTACATATAAATATTATACTTGGCTCCAAAATAATAAAATCACAAATAAATATCTGATATAATATTATTGCCGTGTAATCAGAATTTAACTCTTTTTGTATTTTAATACTATAAATATGCAATATCTATTAAAAAAGATTGGATTTAGGGTGCAGCAGAACGTAGAAAGTAGAGACGAAGTTATTCAAATTATCATAATGGGACCGAGGTCTGAGCCAATTTCAACTTGCTGTCGTTGTAATGGTCGCATCCCTCCAAAGATTCCACAATGGTGCAGACGACATGGGAGCTAAGATACATAACCGAGTTGTACAACGCAGTATTTTTCCCTTGCAGTTAAGTCATATAACCGAGTTGTACAGTAGTTTTTCCATTGCAGGAACGGCAAAACTGCAAGTACATATCACTACAGCCAAATTCCACTATAAATAGAAGTCACAACGTACATACGTCGTCTTTTCCACTTAGTCGTTAGAATTTTAAGTCGCGGATAGCTAATAATAAAGAACACTCTCTACTGGAGCTATAAATATATTTTTTGTGTAACTTATTGTGCAGAGACCCAACAATAAAAGGATTCGAATAAAAATCTTTACAGTTGAAAAGGTTCCAGAAAAGGATATACAGTATATACAATCCTTAAAAACGAAAATCCTCATATGAATTGTTCTGAAAATAAAAACAAATAAAAGTCAAAGTAAAAATTGAATAAAAATGACGGAAAGTGCAGAAATAAATGTTCTAAAAGCAATGCTAATTGCTAAACCTCCAACAAAAAATTGTCGCTTTACAGATTAACAATCCAATTCTTGAACCACCAAGCCAGGAGCATCTCTGCAGATATACACATCCAGATAAAGTTGATTTGAACATATTCAAACCTTTAACTAATTTTTCCGGTAACTACAATGAATCTAGGAACTGGAGAAAGATGGCGATGACGATAATGGAAGGCATCAAACAGTTCCAGGGTCATAACATATACGCCCAAGCACTCTTTATGGTGAGACGTAAAATTTCTGGACGAGCTGCCCAAATATTAATCAATTACAACACGAAACAAAACTTGCGTGACATAATTGATTGCTTACATGACTCATATTCACACAAACGAGAAGAGGACTTGATAAAGATTCAACAACGCGATCTCCCGCTGTATGTATATTACGACAATTGACGATGATTCTTTTAATGGCGTTTGTGATGCGCTTGTTTACATTTGAACAATGTGGTCATTGCACAGTACGCATATATAGTTTTGTACACATCTAATTTTTCAATTACAATTTTCCATAATATAAAATATCAAAACTGAAAACAAACTATTAAGAGTAGTTTATTATAAATAATAACATTCGACTCTGATTTTGAGTTAGTTTAAGAAAATTTTAAACAAATTGAAGACAATTTTTATAATTACTACAGCATATCGACTGGCAACCCTGCGTTGTGAGAGTGCAAACAGCTGACACCTTTCTACGGTAAAAATCTAAATGCCGTGGAAATCTACGGTATCCTACGGGAAAGCGGAAGGTAGAAGCGGTGTTGGCTGATCATTTACATTGCGCTCCCATAATAGGTCGTATCAGCTGACACGGGCCACGGGTTTACGTTGTTCGCTGACCCAACTATTAATAAAATGCAGCACTGTTTTTAGATTTCTGGGTGGTGAGTTTTCTGAATGTATTTGTTTAGAATTGACAGACAGAACACATATAACGGTTTGTATTCGTAAGTTTTTAAAATATTATTACCAATAATTTTAATTTAGAAATACAAACCCAAGATATTAGGCATTTGAAGCTGGATTTTTAATACATCGTTCTAACTCTCATCCCTATACTACTTACGATAGAACTGATAGAAAAGGTTCAATATTGATTTCTTTTTGTGAGTGAAATTGCATATCAATGTATGCATATACTTATTTTCAGAATATTTAATTTATTGGCATATGTATTTTTCATGTACTCTTTATTCCATCGAAATTTTATTAACATTATAATTATTTTTGATAATTTATTTTTGAATCTTTAAGTTTTGCATTTTCCACATTACCCAGGGGTAATGGTTTGCAATAAGGCGTGTTACCGATTTTTTTTAGGTTTTTCGGTTCCCCGGTATACCTATTTTCACCTTTACATCTTAAAATAAACATACTTAATAATTTACATAAAAATTTAAATAAAAATATTGCACAAAAAAATTTAATCTATATAAATAAAAATGAATCGCCAAATTGTATGTACACTCATAACTTTCATACGACTGAACCAAATTTGATAATTCTTTTTTTGATGTGGCCGTCGAGGTTCAAGGATGGTTTTTACGGCAAGAGAATTTCGAATAATCTCCGGGAAACACCTAAAAACAGCCCTTTTCTTTTTCCCATACAAACGAACAAATGTTTATTTGTTAACAACGCTAGGTTTAAAATAAAAATACCTTACACAACATATTAATGAGTAAAAGTCGGAAAATTGGATAGTTCCAAAAAGTAACTCTTTTCCATACACATTTTGTTTTAATTTTTGTTAGTTTTGTTTTTTCAATATTTTGATTTGTGAATTATTTGAATTGTTCTATTTCGGTCGCTTGCTTTTATATTCCGGCTATACAAAAGAAAAATTATTGATAATTATTCACTGAAAACTTTACATATGTGTGTTTCACGCAAAGTGATCAATTGCAGATTGAAATTTGTTACGAAGCCACGAAGAGGTCGCCTTAATATCGGTCGGAATTTTTTTGCGACCAACCCAAGGCAAGGCAAGAAGAACTCCCAGGATGCGATGACATACGTGCGGAATTATGGATCGTGGTCAATCAACAATCGATCGTCACGATGTCATAGCACAACTCTTCAAACAACAGTCACGGTGTTTGAAAGTGACAATGGCAGAACATTCAGCATTTAATTTGGAAGAATGAATATCTAAGTTGATAACTCATGGATCGTACTATATTCACCACTAATTCACATACAAAACTCATATTAATGTTGAGTATTGCAGTTTGGTGTAATCTATAAAATACGTTTATAAGTACGTCACTAAAGGAAGCAACATTTCCGACGGAGAATGGCCAAAGAGTATATTTCAACTCAGAGAATACAGTACAGCCAATGAAAACACCGCCAGCAACAAAAATAACATTTACGAATTTTTTCTCAACTTTCGCCAGTGATCTGTTTGCGAGAACATTGCTCTATTCGGAAATATTTTGACATACATGGAATGCATCGTCGAAGAAATAGTTACGCAGAAAGGAATGCAAGCCAGTAGATTGACATCCAGGTGTGTTCTCAACTAATTCCTTAGGACGAATTTATACAATGAACCTGTAAAATGACGATGGTTTCTATCTTTGATTAATGTTCGCGGTTCAACTTCATTTGAGTCATTGCGAACTGTGAATGGTACGGTGAGTGCAAGTTTTGGAGAAGTAAGCCAGCAAACAAAAATAACATTGCCAAAGACATTTTACAACGACCTCGCTAAAAATTGGAAATGGGTCAAATCCGATTGATACTTCCGGTGGTTTGATATCAATTCCATTCGCCGTTTACCAATTCACGAAAGATGAACTCATCACGAATGTTTATCCGCACATTGGCCAAATTATCGTAACTACCGATGTTGTTGACTTAAACTGGAAGATTCAAAGTCAAATTCCGGGAGACTTGCGCTAGTTAACGACATAGCCACACATTCACATACATCTTATCTTTTAATATACATCCCGAACGAACTATGTAAACCGATGATTGACATGCACTGTCAGTCGAACAATAGAAATGGACTATTATTACAATACCAACCAAACATACATTATCTAGAAATGCACTCTAAACGACAAACATCTGGCAATGGAATAATCCACTGCGATAACAACCTCCGCATATCTTCTACTTGTATAACAAACAAGTGATAGCAAGATAACGGATATTGAATTACAACAAAGAAGTTTCAAGCAGATAACAGCAGCCGCATTTCACTAGTATAAATAGCTGTAAGATCTTATRTTAAAATTAGTTCTTAAGAATATCAATAAAGACACGCATTTCGGCGTAGAAATAAAATTGTTTTCTTAAACTCATATCGTGGAAACGATATTAACTGGGGGCTCAACCGGTTTTAAAGCCATTTTTTTCCTGCGGTAACGGATAAAATAAAATTTAAAGCAAATTCCACGGGAAGTGGGACTTCCACACACGAGGTTCTGAAAAAGCGGACAGACGGCAGATCCTGAAACACTGGATAGCGGCAACCACAAAAAATAACATAAAAACTACGTTCTAAAAAAGCGGATCTCAAAAGTTCCTGAAAATTTGGAAGCAGCTGACAAATCTTAGATCAAAGATCATCAACCTGGACTCTCATAAAAAGAGACAGAAGCTTTTTAATTTGAATCGTCCTTTACTCAATCGTCCAAGCCTCAAGGCTCAAATTGTGACTTTAACCGCATCTCTAACAGAAAACCGAGAAAGGGTGGCTACCCTAGAATATGGTCTGCAATCGAATATATGGACTATCGAACAGCTCGATGATTGCAAGAAAAATATCGCCTACGGAGCGCAGATCAACCTAGATGTCTTCAAGTCGTTACCAGACTTCACGGGTAACAGAAATCAGTACAGATCCTGGAGGAAACATGCGTGGACGCACATGGAAAACATAAAAGAATATGCCACAACCCCAACATATTACACTGCACTCTCGATACTACATTCAAAAATTCAAGGAGAGGMAGCCGACATATTAATTAACCACAATACAAAGTGCAATTTTTACTTGATAATAAATCGATTGGACTACACTTATGCAGACCAGAGGCCTTTATACGTGTTACTGGATGAGATGAAAAAAATAATACAAGGAAATTTTACGCTGGCAGAATTTCATTGTGAAGTCAGGAAGGCATTGAATCATCCCCTAACTAAAATCGAGATGGACAGCTCCGATGAATCTCCAAAAGTGCAACAATACGCGGCTCAAGAAGCAATCAGAACATTCATACTTGGCTTGAATAGCAAGTATATCAGCGGCACCCTCTACAGCCAGAAT